TACAACCAGCCACTGTGACTGCACCTAAAAGCACAAGCTCGCTGTCTTATGCAGCGACCCTAGGTAAAGGACCTACAGAGCCCCGACCCAAAAATCAGGGTCCAAATCCGGCGGCTATGGCGAATGTGCCTCAAATAGCTCCCCCGGTTACTCAAGTAGAAAGTGGAGACTCCGAGGATGTTTTCTCCTCTACTTTAAAATGCCTAATTGAAATCTCCCGCGATCCTGCGGTAGATAGGCATATTCTACTACAAGCCTTCCAAAGGGCCCTGCCAAAGCTTAGGCAGGCAGACGCTCTTACGAGGGCCTTCCTAATTTATGAAAGCTATATTATGCTTTCAAATTAGGATTTCTCGGCTATTTTAGACCCGTGTCTTAAGTTTTTCAGAGCTGTAACCTTTTACCACGGCCTTAAATTCAACTGTTTAAGACAAAGTTCAATTACCAACAGAGAACTTACCATGTGCACATGGAATGCAAACGGCCTCATCAATAAGATCGATGAGGTCAAAGATTTTATTGTAGTGCACGATCTTGACGTGTTATTAGTCCAAGAGACTCATCTTACCCCAGGGAGAACTCCCAAAATTGGGAATTATGACATGTACTCGACTGACAGGGTGTCATTAGCCAGGCGTGCAAGTGGTGGCACCTGTATCTACGTGAAGCGTTCGATTAAGCATCACATGATACCCCCTCCTGATTTAAGTATTTTGGAAGCGACAATTATCAAAATTTTCCTCCAAAATTCTCCCCCACTAACAGTCATCTCGGCGTACCTGCCTCCACTATCAATCACTGCACGTGGAAGAGGTACTTTTCCTGTGTCAGTGATTTTGATAAACTTTTATCATTATCAAATCACCTAATTATTGCTGGTGACCTAAATTCACGTCATACCGCATGGTTTTGCCCTAACAGGAACAAGGTATGGCATTAGTCTAAATTCATGGTGCCAGAGAAACCATATACAGATCATAGCTCCTACCCTCCCGACTTAGTACCCTGTTAGAGGGTCCCCTGCAGTTCTTGATCTGGCTGCCTTTTATAATGTCAATTTTAGACACGAAATAAAAGTGATTCAAGACCTTGACTCTGATCACTATTCAGGTTTGATCACCCTAGATATCCAAAACCGTTACTCAAAATTACAGGAGCAAGTCTCTACAAATTGGGACGATTTTAGATTTATTTTGGAACGTACTGCTACCCCCTATCAAAATTACCAGCAATTCGGATTTTGACAGGTGTTTACTAAATTTGGAGTCCATTCTCAAAGAAGCGAGAGCTGCGGCTTCAAAACCAATTTTCTATCCGGGTGTCAGACTCCCACCTGAGACTAAATCCAAAATTAAGCAGCGGAACTTTTTGCGAAAACTTTGGCAAAGGTCGCGTGATCCCAGTATCCGCGCCCAATTTCGCAAAATACAGAACGAGATAAGGACTGAAACCCGTCTCTTCAAACAGACGGAGTGGAAACACTACATTGAGTCCCTAACGACTGAAGACAATTCGATTTGGCGGGCTGCCGCTCGAATACGCAAACAATCCAGACACATTCCGCCGCTCCAAACGGCCGATGACGCACGGATGGCTTACACAGACACTGAAAAGGCAGAAGTCTTAGCCGACAGCCTTGCTACTCAATTCACTCCTAATAACGACGCCTACTGTAACCGCCCGGTTACTCAAGGGCGCATACATTCACGTGTTGAAGAGTTTTTAACACAACCTTTCACGCCTGAACTTAGGCCCACTGATCCTAAAGAGGTGATGGAATACATCAATAGACTGAAACCCAACAAGGCTCCAGGCATGGATTCTATCTCTAATCGCATGATTAAAAATTTCCCTGTAATGTTTATTGTTTGGATTACGGTCCTTATTAATTTTATGCTAAGGAGAAGCTACTTCCCCGACCGCTGGAAAATTGCAACGGTCGTCCCCATTCCAAAACCGGGGCAAAATCTAAACTTACCCGTCAACTACAGACCAATTAGTCTGCTTTCCTCACTCTCAAAAGTATATGAATATGTCTTACTTAATCGCCTGAATGAATTCTGTCGAGATCAAAACTTAATCATCCCGGAACAATTCGGCTTCCGACCTAAACACTCCACGGTACACCAGTTACTACGTGTAGTGGAATTCATTCATGAAGGCTTTCGTAAGCGAGAGAATACTGGAATTGTCTATCTTGACATAGCTAAAGCCTTTGACAGGGTTTGGCATGACGGACTTATTTACAAGCGACTTGGGTTTCCGGCTCACATCATTAAAATTATTAGCTCGTACTAAGCCGGACGAAGCTTCCGCGTACGATTTAACCACGATCCATTTTGGATGTCCTCAGGGCAGTCTTGTCTCACCTCTGCTCTTCAATATCTATCTCAACGACGTGCCTAAGGCACCCAGTATCGATTTAGCTTTATATGCAGACGATACGGCCATCCTAACTCAACATACCAACATCACCACGGTAATCTCTACATTACAGAGTTACCTTTCAGCCTTAGAACTCTGGCTCGGACTGTATAAAATCAAAATTAATGTCGCTAAATGTGCTGCCACTTTATTCATCCGAAGAAACATCCCTCGTTTAGATAATCTAATTTTCTTCGGTGAACCTATTCCCTGGGTTACTGCTTACAAATACCTTGGTGTTTTACTTGACTCAAAATTAACTTGGCAACTTCACATTCAAAAAATTATTGCGAATGCGGAAGCTGTCAAAGCCAACCTGCGCCCCTTTTTCGCTAAAAATAGCGACCTGTCACTTGATAACAAGATCTTGCTTTATAAATCTATCATAAGGCCTATTCTCACTTACGCGAGTCCCATCTGGGGCTCAGCTGCTCTGACTAACCGTAAACACGTCCAAATTTTTCAATCAAAATTTTTACGGCAGATATTAAACGCTCCATGGTTCATAAGGAACGATGACATTCATAACGACCTCAAAATTATGCCCATTAATCGCTTTATACAGCGACTTTCGGAAAGATTTTTCAAAAACATCCATCTTGTTGGAAATCCAGTATTCCGGTATATGATCCTGCGGTTGCCTCTTCTAAAAAGCGACCCTCAACAATCCCAAGCAATCTACAACTTTTAACACGATTATGCTCAACTACCTTTTAAACGGCGTCGGTATTGGAATACAGACGCCCAAGTGGATGCTTACCTCTCGTTCCTAAACCCCAACCGCCCCCGCGTTAACAAGGCGTAAGGGCATTGACCGGAGGAACCCTGTTCTTTAACTCTTTAAGAAGAGTCTTCTAATGTTTCTTTAACAAGGAACAACTTATCTCCGCAGCCGCACGCGACTGCATTTAATTTCTCAATAGCTTCTTAAAGGCTTCTTTTCCACCCGCTAAACGGGTTGCTTTCAACCCCCTAAGGGGGCCTTTAAACGTCGCATTAAATAACGACCAAAATTTTCTTCTCCTCCATCAGCTGTATCACACTGAACTGCTACTAGAACTCCCCAACGGGTTTCCCCCCAGCCCTTTTTGCCCAACTCTCCGGATTGCTTGTCCTAAGGATTTTATTTTACTGTTGATATCAAGAATCAAGGAAATGTATTGCACCTTTTTATTCTTTTCAAAACTTTTTGAATGTTGACTCCTCTCTCAAAATTTATTCCTGGCCCTTTTTAAACACGAAATTTAATTTAAAGACTTTCTAAGAGTTTTCCTTTTTCTCATGCGGAAGGCATTATCTGAAAAGCTTTTATTTTTATAATTAGGCTTCAAAATTTTCCCTTATTAGATGAACCCCTCTTTTGATGTAATTATTTTATCTCTGATGATGTGGAGTTAAAGGCCTAGCCTAGCGCACTCCGTAAATTAACTTCCTTGATCCTTGATCACAGGTTGACACCCAACGTTTCGGAGCTGCGACATTAGACCCCTCATCTGCCCCACGAACGCAAATACAAGAATGTTTATGGACCAAAACGTTCATAACCATGTGAACACTGAAACACAAATTCCCTGTCCTCGTGCGAAACTAAAATTCCTCCAATAGTCATAACAGAAATAAATCAAATCAATTGGCACGAAATACGAAAACACATAAAAGAAATCTCAAAATTACTAAACTAGAAACTAAAGTAGAAAGCGACACCATAAGAATCCAGATTTTCACCGAAGATGATTTCCAAGCAGTACAGGAATATTTGGAGAAAGCTCCGATACCTTCCACACACTTTTACTCACAATAGAGAAGAATCTTAAATCCTTTATTAAAGGTTTAACTGTCCACACGCCAATAGAGGAGATCAAAGAAGAACTAAAACTCCAAAACATCACAGTGCTTAAGTTACATCAACTTCAACGTATGAGAAACGGTGCTCCTACCATGTTACCAGTATTTTACCTAGAAACACCACGAAATGCGAAAGAGAAAGAAGTTTCTAATATTACACACATCGCCGATATGAGAGTACGTATTGTCAGGGATAAATAGAAGGGCTAGGTCATTCCTTTGTTCGACCCCTCGCCGACGCGAGCCTCATGGAGGGGGTTAACTGGAAGTAATCTGACGTGTCTGTGTTGCACCTGCTCTGATTTCGCGCGTTTAAAAGTGTAGTTTCATTCAGTTGCGAGACGTTTTTCTGAAGGTCGAATTTTAATCATACATATTTGTTTTCTAATAATGCAAATATTTAAAACAATTTGTGTGTATATATATAGCTTTAATCAGTTTTCCTTTTAAATTCTGTATTTAAAGTATCCTTTATGTAATATGGCTTGCTGTGCTGTAGCAACGTGCCGTAACAATTATAAAAATACGACAGGAAGAGATATTGTATTTCATGCTTTCCCAAAGGACAACCGAATAAGCGTTTACTAAAATGTTTTAATTCAACAGCAATGCTGTTGCGTTCTACGGGTTCATGGATTTCGAGTGATTGACGACAGTACTTAAAGAAGTTACTGAACTGTTACTGATTTTTAGCTGTTGGTTGAAGATTTTTAATGCTCTCGCAAAGAAAATTCTAACTGCGGAAATACCTCAGCGATTTTACTGAATTTGACATCCTTCGAATGCCCGTCATGAGAGGAGGATTTTGATGTAACTCTCAAACGGATGCAACAACTATTTTGGAATTTATCGACTTTTTCATGCATATTCTGTCAATGATGTGCTAATCAACTGCACTATAGAAAAGATTCATTAAACATCTTCAATTTGACCAAAAAATTCCAACTAACTTTTATTTGGACAGTTATCTGACTGCAGTTTACTACTCTGGATTGTTTCTAAGTGCTCCCACCTGTTTTTGGACATCTTAGAGCGAATTAACATTTACAGACTTTGGCAAGATAAACGATAAGTTGTTTATGTTTTGTATTTACATCCTGTATTTCTTAATTTATTTCATAATTCGTATTTAAATAGTTAATAGTGATTAATTTGTAATGTTTCTGAATTATTATCTTTCATTTATATATATTTAATATTGTTTTATTTCATTTGATAGTTTTATAAACGACGGTTAGTTAACATTGTACCATTATTCCCCTGAATTTCATTAAATTCATATTTTCCTATTTCTTTAAATTTTAAATCATTGTTGCCATAGGTTACAGCTATTTACTTTCCAGTGCAATAATTTAATACTTAATTTATTTTTAACTTATTAGACTTCATGCGCTTTTATTTCTTTTGCCTCGCATGCTAATGTTTATACTTTATGTATTTTCTTTAGTGAACTTTCTTTAACTGATTAGCTGTTGCACAGCCATTTCTCCTTTAATTTTATTTAAGTCTTGAGCTCAAAGTAGCATAACGATTGCTTAAATTTATACCATTATTCCCCATAAATAACTGATTTCTTATTACTGTATACTTTAAATCATTGTTGCCAATAGATAAATCTCTTTATTTAAAGGCTATCAAGTGTAATATTTCAATATAAAGTTTATTATTTTACACTTTTAATTACTTCATGTGATTTATTTTATCATTATTCTGCATCACTTATCAATATTTCTACATATTGTATTTTCATTACTGTGTTTACGTGACTGATTAACTGTTACATTATAACTTTTATTTACCTCCGAAGCTTATTGCTGCTTTCAGACTGCACTCTATTACTTTCTATTCCTGCATTTCTTTCCCTAACTAATGGCTAAGACAAATTTTTAACTTCATGTTATTATAATTTTCTTCTTTCTAATTATATACACATTCTTCCTTTGTCAACATTTTTTGTATTTGCTAAGAATTGTTAATGCACTATCCATAACTACTTGTTCATCGCCTCGTCACATACTACATCATCAATTGCTGCCTCTGACACAATAATCGGAACCCCATCTTCTTCACGCATACCTTCTGCGTCCGGATTATCAATTGACACTGAAAACTTGACTACGGACTATATTTTATCCAGATTAGCCTTAGCCCAGCAATTCGCATGTTCTGAGCGCGCGAAGAGTTGAACAAAGTAGATACTAAATTCCTCACAGATTTATTTACGCTCTTACAGAGAGCACTTATTGATAGAGGCAATCGCCTTCTTGAAGCGAAGGCACAAAAAGATACTGCACTAGCCTTGAACGATTCTCTATTAAAATCTAGGTTCTACTTTGGTAGACGGTTGCACGGATTTTGGCGATTTTCTTTTGGCGAGTAATACAACTTATGGTAAACCCATTGTTATTTATGGTAACCGATACTTTCTTGTCAATTTATTTAAAAAATAATGTGTTTTATTGTGCATAAATCCGTTTCTAAATATTATTTATGGCTCTAAATATTAAAAATCAATTTAATTTTGCATTTTTATTTGAAATAAAAAATTTTATTGTTTATCGTATTTTATGAAATTTTATGTGTGGATGATGTAATCAATCACGCCCACCAACTTTAAAAGTAATTGGTTTTAACCTGAAAATTTAACAGTTCTTCCTTTAAACATTATTTATGTCTGTTAAGATATTAAAAACAATTTAATTTTGGCCAAAAATGTTTTTATTATTTAGAATTTTTAAATAATTTAATTCTAGCGTGATGTAATAAGCTCTCTGATTGGTTATAGAATATTTGTGCATTAACGAGCTGTAATCAGCTCCCTGATTGGTTACTGACAATTTGTGCATTCTGCGCTTTTAAAATTTTAATAATCTTCGAATCCTTCAAAAATGCTATCTAAATTATGATTCCGATTTTTTATGGACTTATCAATAAACAGCAGTTAAGCAAAAAAAATGTGTCATATTTTCATATAATTGTACTTCATAAAAAAATATACAACTATTTCAAAAATTACTGAGAATATTGTCCATATGTTTTAAAGTTAATTAAATTTATTACTGAGAATATTGTCCATATGTTTTAATGTTAATTAGGGAATCACTAATTGTGTTCGGTGTTCCAGCAGACTTTACTGCCGAAGATGTAGTTCAAGCTTTTGGAAATTTGCATTCTTTTGACGGAGCCACTCCTGTCCACCCTAGAACACCATTGCATAGAGCCGACTCACGTAACAATTGGGTGGTTCAGGTTGATCTCCCATATTTTAATCAAATAGGTGATCACGGCCGTTTATATTTTGGATTTTCTTCCTGCCCTTTTCGACGTTATTATAGATTACGTTATTATAGTTAATTTATAGATTACAGCGCTGCTTCAATTGTCAAGGTTTGGGGCATAATAGTCGCAACTGTCAGGAACGGCCTTCTTGTGTCCACTGTGCTCAGTCTCACGAACAGTCAGGAAGCACCGGCTTGTATCAACTGTTTGCATTCTAACGACGTCTTAAAAACATCCTACGATATTCATCATCCAGCCAGCTCTTCGCAATGTCCCACATACAAGCTGGAACTTCAGAAATTAATGAGGAAATCCCCTCACACTCAGTCCAACGACCTTCCAGCAGTTTGTCAGTGATTCCCTTCAACAAAGTCAAATTTCTACAATGTAATCTGCAAAGATCAATAGTAGCTACTAGTCACATGATTCATCAAGTTCTTGAATTGGGAATCCACATTGCTTTCTTCCAGGAACCATATCTTAAACCTGATGGAACTCTTGAAGGTTTAACTGCCTCATTAAGACAATTTTCTTCTTCTAATGGACTTGCTGCAATAGTTTTCAATAGTGCACTATCTCCAACTCATTGGAAATCCACTGAACATTCGGTTTCTGCACTAATTGAATTTTTACATCTAAAAATTTACTTGTCTCTACTTACTTCCCTCCCAGTCGGGATATTGATGAACTCCTTTTTGAATTGGATTATATACCACAGACAGAATTTCCTAATGTACTTATCTGTGGAGACTTTAATGCGTCAAGCTCGCTCTGGGGGTCCTCAAAAGAAGACTCTCGCTCCGCATCACTTATTGATTTCATTGAGATGCATTCTTATGTTATATTAAATTCTACGTCTTCCCCCCCCCACCTTTGCAACTGTTAGAGCTCAAGGTTAGATCGACATCACATTATCTTCTCCATCATTAGCTCCTCTGATACAGTTTTGGAAGGTTAATGACATGATTACACTTAGCGATCATCGATCAATTACCTTTACTCTACAAAGCATGAATAATATTCTTGTCAAATGTCGCTACAAGACATCTTTCAGACAACTTGCTAAATTGAGATCCTCTTTGTCTCCTTACTTGGATGGGATAATCGCCAGTTTTAATGCCTGCGATTCACCCTCAGCATTGGATCGGGCATATGAACATTTCATCGATTGCTGTACACGAGCTTGCCAACACACACTTTTACATTAAGAAGTACTTTTCTCATACCTCTTCCGCTTGGTGGACGACAGACTCATTATCGTTTCGGGCCTTTCTATATGCTTTTGACACTGCCGCACCTTTTATGTACCAATGGATGGCACAGTTTTTTCGACGGCCACTGGTAGAGTCTTTCGTCCCATGACTTTGTCTGTCTATTTGTCCCACTGCTACCTCAACAGCTGATGTCATAAGGAAAGTCCTGACAGATTTATTCAAGTTTGATTCCCCCGAAGATGATACTGCTTGCCAAGCTAAATTACGCCACTCTTTTGACACCATCTTTAAGTCACCATTTTGTTTTTTATATTTATTTTTTAATTATTTTATTATATCATTTTATAGTATATTTTGTATGTCGATATTGTGTTATATATATTTGTATATTTGAATTTGTATGTTTCATATGTCTCATTGCTGAGATACATGATTTATATGACTCAGGTTAACAATGTCTGAGATATATTTAAATGACTCTGTATTATAATACACGTCTCGTAGCACTTTGATACATATATATTTTTGAATTGTTGAATTACTTGTACTTCAAAATTTAATGTTTGTACTGCATCATATTTATCATCATATAAATCTGATTTTTACTGATTTAATATTTGCACATACTGTACTATTCTCTTTGATAACTAGTCTGTACATAATTTGTTATTCTATATAGTATTTTTACTGTATTATAAACTTTCTGCATGTATTTTGCCTTATGGCGAAGATGTCTGTAATACTACTATACTGTCAATGTCTCTGTACCTTTTGAAATATGCTCAATAAATGCCCGACTGACCTGTCTCCACGGACTGAACAATTCTGATAGGAATTCATAGGTCAGAAGTTCAGCCCGTGGCGCTCAGTACTCAGTACTTGATGAAGTGTAATTTACTTGCCAGTATTACTCAGAACAGGTCCAAAAACACGTTTACAATTGTCGAAAAACAATGTCAAGCACGCTGAATTAATCAGGAACACAGCCTTCAGGCTACAACGTTGAAGACAGCTTCACGGCAAAAAAATAAAGCTTCCGATTCGGTCGATCGCTCTCGGAGCTCAATGCATTCAAGATACTCTTCACGACAAGACTAACGATATACTGACGATACACTGCTACCCCGCGTACAGGCAGAGTTTATATAGCTTCTGGCCTTCTTTCGAGAACATTTTGGGCCAAACCTCTAAGAATTCGTTCTAGAATGTTCTCCATCCGTCTATGGCATATTACAAATTTTGTCTCCAAATGGGCGATTTCGCGCCAAATATAAGAGACTGAAAGCATGAATTACATTCACATATAAGTGATACACTTCTAAAATTTAAAAATCTTATGTATATATATTGTGAATAATTGTTTAAAAGAAATGAATTCTTTCATAGGAACTGGTGAATGTAAAAGAATCTTCTGAAAATACGGAAGTTATTTTAGTGAAAATGGGTAAGTGAAAATAAACGTTAATTTTCTTGCGTTGGCATTTTACTAAGTAGAAGATGCCAAATTAATATTTGTATTAAACATGTGAAAAGTAGATAACTGAATATACTCTAGTTTATACGTTATCATATATAGAAAATAACATAAACTGAACTAAATAACTAGAGCAGAAGTAAAAATTGAAAGTTCTCTCTGTTTATAAAAATTTAAAGAACTTGAATAGCGTGTAAAGCTTGATAAACTTTTATTATTCTTTATTTCCTCCCTGCATACGAATCTTAGCATTTTCAGATGTGTTTCAATAATGTCACTCTAATTTTTAGTAGTAAATAACATGCGCCACTGTTAACTAAAGTAGTCCATCAGGATATCAAGTGGATAGGAATTCATTAGCAAGAGAAGGAAAGTTACAGTGTGTGTTCTTTAATTTTGTACAACAATGTTAATAACTTTATAACAATATAATAATTAATTAATAAAAACAATATAATAATTAATTTAAAAGTCAAACAACAAAAATCAGCGTTATATTTTCAAATTTTCACAAGAATAGTTTCGATGGTTTTACCGAACCATCATCCTCAGCTTCAAAAGCGCAAATGAACGAGATAAGATAACCAAGCCTGGACAGGAGATCAGCCACTGGCGCCATCAGTTGATGAAACCAGGACTAAAACATATTTTCTTTAAAGGCTGTAGGCAAAGATGGATTGGAATTAGGGTTGTTAACTAGAACAGAAAGATATTTTTGAATGTGAGATGCCTCTAGAAAATCCAGTTCTCCAATGGAAGATATTTTTTGAATAGTTTTGGCAGCAGAAAAATTGAAAGTGTGATTTTCGATCAACATTGTTGGGCAACAGAAGACTTCTGTGTTTCTGTTTTCTAACATATGTCCTCATGTTCCTTAACCGCGAAATTTTAAGGCTCTCTGAGTTTGGCCAATGTAAATTAAGCCACACTGGCAAGGAATCCTGTAAATACCCCAGGAATTCATATTCGGAATGCGGTCCTTTCGGAATTTTATTGATTACAAACAAAAGTTAGCTTCATTTTATTCCTATGTTTTCCGTGCTCTTCAAGTTTGCTCCTCCAAACTATCTGATGAAGAACTAAATTATTTAAAAGCATATCTATTGACAGGGGCTTTTCACCCAACATTATTAAAAAGCAGTTAAAAAAATTTCAATTCAACACACCAAAAGACACACTCTTGTTTTAGGAAATTATAAAAATTCTGTTGTCATTCCCTTCTTTTCATCAATTAGCTATAAAGTTGCATATATTTTGCAGAAATTTAACTTTTGGGTGGTTTATTCTTCCATCAATAAAATTTCGAGTTCCATACTCAAGGACCCCATTCCGGATATGAATTCCTGGGGTATTTATAGGATTCCTTGTCAGTGTGGCTTAATTTACATTGGGCAAACTAAGACAGCCTTAACAGTTTGCGTTAAGGAACATGAGGCATATGTTAGAAATAAGGAAACACAGAAGTCTTCTGTTGCCCAACAATGTTGGTCCGAAAATCACACTTTCAATTTTTCTGCTGCCAAAACTATTCAAAAAACATCTTCCATTGGTGAACTGGATATTCTAGAGGCATTTTACACTCAAAAAAACCTTTCTGTTCTAGTTAACGACTCTAATTCCAATCCATCTTTGCCTTCAGCCTTTAAAGAAATGTTTTAGTTCTTGTTTCATCAACTGATGGCGCCAGTGGCTTATCTCCTGTCCAGGCTTTGTTATTTTATCTAATCATTATATCTTACCTCGTTCATTTGCGCTTTTGCAGGTGAGGATGATGGTTCGGTAAAACCACCGAAATAGTCCTGTGAAAATTTGTAAATATAACGCTGATTTTTGTTGTTTGACTTCTAAATTAATAATTGTTCTGCGTGCTATTGTATCTTAACATAATAATGTTTTAAAAGTAATGCACTACATAATTTTACAGATGCCACGAAACCCGATGAAGTGAAGGATGCTCGGGAAATAGTAAAAGAAACCGTAGAGGACGATGGCCTTACGCTTCTTATCAATAATATGGAAGTGAGACAAATGCAGCCCTTTCCTTACATATCAAGAGAAAATTTACTCTATCACTTCACAGTCAACACAGTGGGGCCTATAATGGTTTTTCAGGTAATGAGATGCAAAATTTATTCTTTTCACTGGCTGATGCGCGAATGATTTGTCGGTGATTCAATAATCTGGTCAATGGCTGTGTGAACAACTCTTTGAATAAAGAATATTTTAATGTGTTCAAAATTATTGAACAGAACTGCACAGATGAAAATGCATTTATTGAGAGTAATAGTCACTTACGATTATTTGAATACACGAAATTATATTTTTCCCTTCAAGTTAAATGTTTTTATTTACTACTTATGTGTCTCAACTGGAATCGATAACATTTTGATTTTACTTTAATACTCTAGTTTTCATTCATATTGAAAATTACTGCTTTGATAGTGATATAGCATCCAGCCAGTGTCCACAGAGCATGCGCTGCAAGGCAGTAACTGCTGGATACAGTAAGAGACAATAGAAGCAACAGCCTCCACTCCTCTATCGTTGTTATGGACATTAAAAACACATTTGACGCTCTTTTGTAGACAGAAGTTTTATGTTGTTCCGTATGTTCTGTCTTATGTAATTCATTTGGTAGGAGGAAATATCACAATGAAAACGTCGTGGAGAAAGTAACGCAAGGCGAAAACACTGTCGTCGGATAAAAGAAAGCAAGGAGAAAGGAGGCATATTTTTACTTTTGTATTTCATATTTTTGAATTAACTAAAAAATTCTTACTGGAAAAGTAAGAAGGAAAATTAAGCATTAAAAAATTTAAAATAAATAAATAAATAATACTTATAGCTGTTAAGAGAATTTTAAACTTGCATGGTTAAATAATAAAAATCATTAATTAGTTAATTTCCTTTTATAAAGTCTTATTGGCAATTTTTCATGAAAAATATATACTAAAAAAGATTAGAAAATGGAAGACGCGTAACTGCATGTGGTTACCTCTTTAAAATTGTTTAATTAATTATCAAAAATATAAACTTCTGTTAAATCCTAGAACTAGCATTAATTTCCTATCCATTTTCATCTTCTGAATGTTAAAGTTTCTTTCCTATGTTTTCAGCAAAATGTTATTAGTTATAAAATACAAAATTAGAAAAATTCCTCATACCTCCTTGCGCTCACAAATCATTATGCGAATACGCACAAAGCCTGAAAACGATGTTACCATCATTCGATAATTTGAAGGTGCTTTACTTTTTCCGCAATATTTTTGACTACGATGTTTTTAAACTGCGAAAACCGCTTTATTTTCAATGACGGTGGTGTAATGTTTTTGTACGACAAAGGTTTCTCCTGGCATTATTTTCTCCGCGACGCTTTCGTCTGTAAGCAAAACATTATTACTATTTTTTTTGGGGGGGGGCATTTGAATCCATAATAGCAGATGTTCACAGAATCAAAGCAAACGATTAACTGCATGGAAAATTATATCCCACTTCAGGCTTCTTTGAAAATCATGCCATTTCAACTTCTTTCGATGGGGTAGGTAAGAAGGGTTCTCATTTCAGCCTTTTCATTCAAGATCAAAATAAAATCCAAAAGTGTAACAGAAGGTCATATGACAGTGAAGTATGTATGAAGTGATGTGATTATAATGCTCCGGTATTTAAATTTCGAGTTCAAGTATTGGTTGTATAAAGCTTTCATATTATTGGTGACTATAGAGAGCAAGAAAATGTTTTTTATTTTATTAATTTGAATATTACTATTTTCTTGAAATATAACCATGACGATTTCTAAAGAATAATTGCTGCTAAAACTGCATTGAGGATTCTATGTCTTAAACGAAAGCGAAGAATGAAAGTTTTTGAGGTTCTGGCTAGCATTAAATCTGTATCACAAATATATTGCTCCAATAAATCATAACGTCGTGAGTGATACTGCTATCATAGTTTTCAATAAAGAATCGCAGACCTTTAAAAATGTAACCTTCATCTTAGAGGAGAATGTTTAGATTTTTTATAATCACCTGAAAAATAGGTTTTATAGGTGACTATTACCTGCAAAACGATTTGATAGGTGGTCTGTGAAACATCTCACCTGTATTTTACGATTACCTGTCGAACTATATAGTATTTATAACAAAGGATACGATCATTTATTTTTGTTAACTGACATGAATGCGAAACTGTTAGTTTTCCATTAAATTTATTTATTTTACGACTGCTATGATAGTATTAAAATTAAAAAAAAAAAAAAAAAAAAAAATCCAAACTTCTGTTTCTCAATAACGACCATTCACAAACGTGCGTATTAGTGTGTGCATATTTACCCAGATAATGAGACGGAAGATAAGTAATTATATGACGTTACATTTATTAAAATTGTTCAGTTAGTTATCAAATCGTAAGTTTTTCTTTTATAATTGTTAATCTGATATTATTTTAATAAATATTAAATCTTGTTTTGTTTCGCTTTATTCGTCACCTTAAAGTGGGATTAACATTTTCGGGTGGTGACGGTGAAAGTGGATTACGTAGCGCAAAACCTTAAAGGTTATTAGCGCCGATAACATTTTCAGGTACAGAGTGAAGTTAAATTTATTCGTTAATTCAAAAACATGAAATATAAAAGCAAAAATCATTCAGATTGCTTCTTGAGTTCACAAATCATTATGCAAATATGCATTTACCGCTTTTAAAATCTGGAAAACCATGTTAATATCACGCGATGATTTATAGATGCTATATTTTTTTTACCACGATATTTTCGAATAAGATGTTTTTGAAATGCTTTATTTTTTTACTACAAATTAGTCAACTATGATGCTGCGACGTTTCCGTTCGCAATGCTTTCGGCGGACATGGTTCGTTTGTCTCACAAAGATTATTAGTCTTTTCAGAAGCTACCTTCAGAATAGATATGTACAAATCATCACCGATAAGGGCACAATCACCGAAATATTGGAAAGAGGGTGTCTACAGGATTCTTGCCTAGGCTGAACCCTGTGAACTATATAGAAAACAAAGGTTTTAAACATTTTGAAAACTGGAACAGACAAAGATTGTAACTTTCGGAGATGATTTTGTAAAGGTGACAGCAGGCAGAACATATTTAGAAGACCAACGTGGTCTAGACTATTCGTAAAATAGGCTTGCTTTCACTAGCTTCCAATCTCTTTTAGTAAGAAAAGCTGCTTACGGTAAGCAAGAATTAGGCATTGAAACGCAGTTTCTCGTTGGGTCTTGATAGCACGCGCGGAGTGTCAAGGAACTACGGTATTTTCGAAGTAACAGTTACACAGGGACCTAGCCATAATGTCATCAAATTTGGTGATTCTTCCCCTAATTTGGCTACATAACTGTCCTCAGAACCGTCGCCCTCTTGGCGATATCTCGACAATTTAGCGAGATAGCCATTCATTCATTCATTCAATGTTAAATAGATTTGCCCGAGTAAACTTATTTTTTAAGCCCGGCACAACATTATCTCTTTCAAGCATTTCATGTCACACTGTACAAAAAAATACTCAAATTTCATCTATTGTAATTTCACTAAAGTTATTCACATGTTTACAAAATTCATAACATTGTTGTGACAGCCCCCAGCGTCAGTGTGTTCAGTAATAGTATAGGTAAAAGGGATGACGGCGTCACTAACGTTTATTACCTTCTATAGGAATTTATACTTGACACTTAATATTTATAAAAAGATCCTATTTCATTTTGTTCTATATTCAACTTTCCTTCAAAGGAACTGTACTCTAGTCTCCTGAAAGCTGCCGGACGTAAAGATGTTAATTCTGTAATGAGTGTTAACAGAGCAATGGTCCTTAATATAACTTCAATATCTGGCAGTATTACTAGAACGGGAAAGGACTCTGTTCATGACCTGGAGGTACCAGGATACAAAATTAGCAAGGTTAGTTTTATTTCATAAGTTTTTGCTAATTATATTTGTTACGCAAAAGCCAGTATGCAAAAATAAACTGTAAAAATGACCGGTAAGGACAGTTTTTTAGACTATGAGTTATTAAATGATACAGAAGACCGTGGATGGTGGAACTGAAAGTATTTTATTTCAAGTGCTTTATATGAAATTACATATACACACCTATATACGTATAGTTACATATATCATAATTACAAAACAATTTTTTAAAAACAAAATATAAACATACCTAGTATTTTTGCGCATTAAGCTGCTGAAAAATTATCAGTAAAGACATAAAGTAAGAAATTTAGTACTAATTTTTCACAAAGACCAAAAATTGAAATCATAATAAATTCAAAATCCTATAAATCCCAAGAATTTAAAAATATTAAACCAAACTTTTCAAACAAACAGTACCCCAATACAAAATTAATGAAATTTAAAAATGGACAAACAGAGTTATCAACTTCAATGCCCTTCGCAGGGCGGGGAGAACATTGAAATCAATTGAAACTCGCTTCTACAAAATCCTTGCTTTTCCTGTATCCATAATAGACACAAATCCTTTCAAGATTTATTTTATTTATTTCACCTTAAAATTCGGAGCCTTTCCCAAGAAAGAAAAACAAGTAAATTCAAATTATAATATGTACTTAAAGAGAACTATTTTATGAAAGACTGAAACTAGTGAATAATATTACATTTCAGTAAAAAATTTAAATCAAAATTTTTACCTTTAAACATATAGCATATAATCCAAAGAATTTGAAACGTTATCAACTTACGTGAAAAGAATTAAAACTCACAAGAAGTAATTAAAATCTTCGAGTACGTTTAATAGCCCACAATCAAAACTAAGAATATCGTTATTGTAGTGACGTAAAGGTTTGCCATTTTGGCTTCATTGACGAAACTAAAAAACCTTGACGAGAACGTAATCGCTCAAAAGGCTAAAATTTGGAACAAAAGATGGAATTTTGAAATCGAAAGAAAAACTTCTAAAAACTTCAATGAAAATTTACAATTTTGACAAAGAAACAGATTACTTTATTGATTGAATGAAAATGAAGTAAATTCTGACTCTTTTAAAACAAAACTGGGAATAAAAAATATCATTTAGTGTAAAACTTTAATTAAGTTTTAAAATCAATTATTCTTAAAAAAGTATCCTCAAAAAAGGTGCCCAATAAGTGGTCAAAAAGTTTTTAATAATGTTTTGTAGATATGAGTAGAAAAATCCATAAAGTTGAATTTTAGATTTTTTAAAATTGTTACTTAAAGTTACAGAAAAGAGTTGAAAAAGGAATTAAAGGAACTATTCTTAGAAAAGTAAAATGTCTTCACGGCATTGGCTTATCATGACGACTTTGAATACATAAGGCTTAAGTAACCGAATAGTAATTAAGAGAAAAAAATAAAATCCTATAAACCCTTTAAAACATCCTTTTTTGTCCTTCTCTTTTGGAGCTTTCAGATAAAATATTCATACTTTTAAAAAGTATTATATTGTGTAGACTACTCCAGATTTCTTTAAAAGACTACTAATGAATTTTAAACGAATTTCATTATTTTTAAAAATTTTGGTAATTAGGTTAATAATAGTATTAGAAATAACTTTTTTAGATATGTTGGAGTTCCAATTTATAATTTATATATAGAAAAATTAAAATCTTTTATCAAAAAGTTTAATTTCTGTTGGATTATGAATACTTAGATCAATTTAAAATATTTCTGTTCGGTTTTTGTTGGTCTTATTCAGTTTTAGACAATTTGGGTAGACATTGCTGTTTTCAATGAGATTAAAATCATTGAAAGTAATAATGTCATCAATATATCTTTCAAATTTACTGAAATCGCTATCAGAAAGGCTCTTTAGGAATTTGAATTCTTTAGAAAATAGAAATAAGTTAAAATATGAGTGGAATATGATTTTCCTATTGAAATTCCTTGTGTTTGCAGGTAAAGAAAGTGTAAATGTTTAATATAGTATTGTATAGCGAAAAATGAAGAAATTCTTTCTCTCTTTGTAAATACAGAATATTAAGTATTTCAGGGAAAAAATTCTATCATTTCTAGAAGACATTCATATATTTCTTTAAGTGGCAGAGACGTGTAGAAGTTTCTAAAATCATAGCAGTTAATATTGTAAATTTTAACATATCTAACTTCTTCTTCAATGATTTTCAAGTTATCGTAAAGGATCCACCAGAAGTTTTTCTCTTATTTAACTTGTTCAAAAACTATATTACAAGTAGTTTTAAGTAGATTGATAAAATATTTTCGAAATTCTTCTTGAAAATTCTGGTACTATTGGATATAAATGTAAAGTTTACTGGATTTTTATGAAATTATGGTAAAGCATAAAGATTAGCAGATGTGTTATTTGTAGTGAAGAGAGAAATTCTCCATTTTTTGTTAAAAGCAGAAATTTTGTTAATAACAGTACTTTCTTTATTTCCGCAGATATTATTGGTAGAAGAAGTTTCCAGTTCATTTTCAATTTATACCATTGTAGAATGTTTTTTCATAAAATACTGAAATTATTGTTTGCTTTATCAATTTTAGTTATGGTAAATTATTTTTTTTATTACGAAAACTTCAGAAGTAATTTTTTTCAATTTTTAATTCCTTTAAATCCTTTAATTTTCTCAGTTTTCCTTTTGCTTTGAGTAATAATCTCATTCTTCCATTCCTTAAAGAGATGTGAAGTTAAACTAAGTTCAGATCTAACTTCAAGGTGAAATTTTATTATTTATTATTATTTCATTTCTCCTAATTGCTATTCTGTTACTAAACAAGAGCCTTATATTCAAAGTCATGATGATAAGCCGATGACATGAAGACTTTTTACTTTTCTAAGAATAGTTCTTTTACTTACTTTTTCAACCTTTTTCTGTAATTTTAAATAACAATTTAAAAAAAATCTAAAATTTAGCTTTATGGATTTTTCTACTCATATCTACAAAACATTATTAAAAACCTTTTGAACACTTATTGGGCACCTTTTTTAGTCTACTCCTTTTAAGCAAAATTGATTTTAAAATTTAATTAAAGTTTTACACATATTCTTTATTCCCATTTTTGTTTTAAAAGAGATAGAATTTACTTAAATTCACTCAATTAATAAAGTAATCTTTTTCTATTGAACGTGCTCGAAGATTTTAATTACTTCTTGTGAGATGAAATTAAGTCTTTTCACCTAAGTTTTATAACGTTTTAAATTCTTTGGATTATATGCTATATGTTTAAAGGTAAAAATTTTGATTTAAAATTTTCACTGAAATATATTATTATTTCACTTACGTTTTTATTTCTTTCAATAAAATAGAATTCTCTTTATTTAAGGTACAAGATTCTAATTTGAATTTACTTTGGTTTTCTTTACAGAATTTTCGGGTGAACTATCACAATTAAAATACATTGAAATGATTTATCGGCTATTTCTGGATACAGAAAAGCAAGGACTTTTGTAGAAGAGAGATTTGAATTGATTTCAATGTTTCTCCCCCCTGATGCAGTGCCATTGAAGTTGATTGAATTTCTCTTCTGTTTTGTTCATTTTTCTTTAAATTTCATTATTTTTTTTAATTGGGGTACTGCTTGTTTGAAAAGTTTTGGTTTTAATATTTTTTAAATTCTTTGGAGCATTTATAGGATTTTTTGAAATTTATTAATTATGAATTTCAATTTTTGGTCTTTGGTGAAAAATTAGTTCTAAATTTCTTACTTTATGCCTTCATATATATTTTTATTAAAATTAAACTATGTTAATAGACTTACAATATACTGTGTAATTGCTGCTAAGATAACAAAAAATAATTATTTTCTTAATTTAAATTTAAATGAAACAAGCAAAGAATGATCTCGAAAGCGGAAATAAACTCAAATTTTAAATCTAATAATTTAATTAAAGTTAGAAGAATCTATTAAATTAACTTGGACGAAGTTGGAAATTTAATTTGTAAAAATAAAAATATGAAGTAACAAATACAGTAACGAAAAAGCTGTATTTTCATAGTCAGATTTAAAAAACTTTGTCAAGAGGAGGAAGAGTACATTAACGATATTATATCTTTTTCTTATAAACCTAAAGACTATAAGTCTTTTTGGTACTCTTCCGTTATGGACCTGCTACGCATTTTGGAGAGTTTACTAATTGTTACATACCCACACAACCGCGGCTAGACAAGTAGTACCATTTGTCTACAATTTTGGAAAAAAGTGTTCCCTCCGCAGTAATTACTTTTCAAATGCTGATGCTTGTAATCTTTTTTTTTTTTTTTTTTGGATTCTCCTACGTACTTTTATTCTTACAATCATCTTCGTTGCAAATATTTTATAAAATTAATTAATTTTAAATACTTTTCATAGGCTGCATTAAATATGGCCATGAGGAATTTTGCCGAAAATGTCAAGGGAGAGAGTATCCTAGTGATTATGATGTGCCCTGGATGTGAAATCAAAGACGCGGGCACAGATCAAGAAGAAGTCGGAGTCGAAGAAAGCGTTTCTAACATACTTCAGACATTACCTAAACTTAACGAGAAACATCAAGGTACGTATATTGACAGAAATGGAAATGAATATCTATTTTGAGAAGTGCATTTGCATGGACCCATTGTATTTAAAATTTCTTTTCAATTCAAGCATAAAGTAATAGCACTGTGGAATAAATTTATTTAGCTAAGTTTTTTTTTTGGTTTCCTTTCTATACTCGCTGAAGAACGCTAACAAAATGATGTAATTTCTGTCTAAATCCCAATAAAAATGAATGGTTCATATTTCAACTTTGCTTCATCGCTGTTCTGGTTATTTACTGGTAAATATGTCGACCTTCTGTCACATGACTGTTGTCGGATATTGTTACTCAAATCTTCAGCTTCTGTTTTGAATATTTAACATCACTGGATCTTTTCCACCATAGAGGACATACTACATACCAAATAATTTTCTGTTTAAAAGCTTTTTATTGACATTACGAATCAAATACAAGAAATCTGTTATACGTAATAAGAACAAAGCATTTAATTTAAGGATGACCAATAGGCAAAGTTAGTGCATACATTTTTCTGTAGGAAATTGTTTACACATGTTGTTTCATAGTGGAAAAGAATCGCAACATTTTATCAATTATTTTAACTTACAGTTGTCACAGTCAGCAACTTAATGAGCGCAGTATTCGTTAGGATTGCTGTGAAACAAACCTGATGTATTTTGAATAAACTGGCAAATATGCACTCTATAACAACAACAACAACAACCAAAAAAAAAAAAAAATCGACGCACCAAAAAAGAAGTTGTCCAATGGGAACAAAAATTGGTGTATTGGGAATTTATGTATAGAAAAGAAAATGATTAAAATTTCAGAACAATTGAATGATTTATTTCACAGTTACACAGTAAGCTGTTGACCCACCTCTAGCCTGGATGCAAGCTGCCACACGACGTGGCATAGACTGATAAAGATCACGGATGGTCTGCGGTATTTCTTGCCAAATTTGCTTCACTTGTCGGGCTAGTTCATCAATATTCCCCAGTAGATGCAGTTGCCTTCCCATCATATCTCAGACATGCTCGATGGGAGAGAGATCTGGCCGGCCAAGGAAGTGTTTGACAAGCTATAAGATAGTTCATAGCAACACGTGCCGTATGTGGGCTGGAAATATCTTGTTGAAAACTAAGGCCAGGGTACCGCAAAAGGAACAGGTATCAGAATGTCGTCGACGTGCCGCAGGGCTGTGAGTGTGCCTCTAATGACGACCAAAAGGTGGTGGTGGTGGTGGTAGTTGAGTTAATGGCACATAACCAGAAAGGTTATATGCGCCAAACACACGGTAGTTTATAAAACGGTAGATAAACTTTGTAAAACAACAATTAGCAGAGTCATAAGATCTACATGAAATAATAAAATGGTGAAACTAAAATGATGAATACATATTAAAACTCAGTAAATGATATGCAACAAGCAATGAAACATTAAAATTACATTACAATAAAAGCTAAATCAAATTAAATAATATAAACCTGTTTCTTTCAAGTATAGAAATCAATTATTATTGGCCTCTTTCGCGATTAAACGGTCAAGAGGCGAGTCACACTCGTTAAAATGCTTTGGTCGCAGTCTATTAAAATTCGGACACTCTATTAAAAATTACGAACAGATAAAATGCTATCACAGTAGGGAAAAATTGGCTCACTCTCTTCTTTGAGAAGATACTTGTGCGTGATTCTCGAGTGGCCGATTCGAATACTAGTCAAGAGTACTTCTTCCCTTCGGTTTCGAGTACTTTCCCAAAATTGCCCTCTAGGCATCACGCTTCTTAGCTTATTATTTAATAGTGCGTCCCACATTTCTTGCCATTTATCTAAAATTTTCCGCTTCAGGGTCTTGCTGATATCTCTGAGAAGAGTGAGTTGACTAGATTCCTCAACAGCAGCTTTGGCTGTGATATCTGCCAACACATTACCTTTTATTCCTACGTGTCCGGGAATCCAGCAATAAATAATTTCGAATACACGACTACTCAGGTTTCTATTCAACTTTAAAATTTCAACTAAAAGCGGATTCTGTGTGTCAGAGAATGTTTCTAAAACCTTCACTGAATGAGTCGGAATAGATAATAAACTTTCTTCGAGAATGTCTAGATATAGATAAAAGAGCATAATAAATTGCAGTAAGTTCAGATGTCAGGACTGAACAATTATCATTTAGTCGTCTTCCCAACATATGATTTTCAATTACGAAAAGCATTCCAACATCGATTTCTCTCGATCCATCTGTACACAGAGGAATATAATTAATGTACCTTTGTCTGTGTTCTGAGAAAAGGTGTTTGTTTTAATTTGTTTGTCCCATAAGTGTAAATTTTGTAGCTTTAATCCCCCCTTTCGGGAAAAAAAAAAAAAAAAAAAAAACATTTTTTCCAGCTTTTATATTTTACTACCAATTAACAATAGTCTAAATTAATACCTCATACAATTTTTCTAAGGATAAAATAACCTTTATAATACAAAATTCTTATTATAATAATCTATTTCCAATACATTCTGCTCTGCAGTTTAAGCACTAGCACTGTATGTATTATTTAATCATATTTCTATTTTTTACCCTATGTATGTATACAAACTAACACAAATTATTCACCAGTAGGCACTATTACACAGGACAGTTCCAAAGGCACATTTACCCTCGTCGAAAAACTACGACAAAACACGTTAAAATAATCAGCAACAGAGCCTTCCGGCTGTAACGGTGAAGACACCTTCACGTCAAAGCACTAAAGTGAGTGAGTGAGTGAGCGAGATTTTTTTGGCGCAAAACCAAAAATGATTATAATGCGCCAAACACTATAATGAAATCATGAATGAATGATGTTTGAAATTGCTGCCAAATCCAGATATGAAGTCATATAAAACAAGGTAAAACACACATTAATAATACACAATCTTCAAACAGATTATTAGATAATAAAGCCAGTCTCTTTTAAATAATAAAATTAATTAAAATTGATTTCTCATCCGATTAACGGTCGAGAGGTAATTAATTCACAGCCATTAAAATATTTCTGACGAAGATTATTAAAACTTGACACTCAATTAAAATATGTCGGACAGATAAACAAAACTTACAATTTGAACAAACAGGCTCATTCTCAGCTTTCAGAAGATAGTTATGTGTCACTCCAGTGTGACCAATTCTGAGGCGAGCCAAACGAACATCCTCCTTTCGATTTCTATTAAAATCCCAACACTCAAAAGCCCACCAGTGGCCGAGCGGTAAAGTCCTAAACAACGGGCACCAAGCTGAACACTGACACCAATCCTCTACAGTATGCAAGAGCTCTACCAACTACCAATGGACACAGTCCATATCGTTAGTGACACCAATCATCAATCTATGCTATTAAAAATCCCTGCACAAATTCACCAATAGCCCGTCAAATACAAACAATTATCAATTCCAGCCAAAAGAACTTCGTTCTTACATGGACGAAAAGGTCATAGCAATTGCGCCGGGAATGAAAGAGCGGACTCCTGGCAAAGCCGCAGCCCGAACAGTCAGGCACTACCAGCCACATCCCATGGCCACCTCCACACTGAAGTTTACTCTAAAATGCAGGCCAAAAAGTGCAAGACAATGGGATCAAGGACCGTAAGGCAGAAGGGCGCATTCCTTCTCCCATGTGTCGATACTGAGCGCACTATTTAAATTATTATCTCCTCAATATATCTCTGGTCATGGACCGACCAACTACTATGAATGAAACCTTTCAGTGACTGAAATGCGTTTGTGGTAATCCGGGGATCCAGACCATTATTTATTTCAATGCCCAATAACAGAAGATATCATATCCGCCATCCCACAGCACCAGGAACAGACTTCAAACGCTTCTGATAAAGCCTGAAATCCACATTAGTATCAAAACATAATTGACACACTCCACCGACATAGCTTGGAACGTGTGCTCCATAACATTTTTAAGTGCTTCTTCTTCTCGTACGAACGCCAGTTTTCCAATGGGGGTGCTTTATAGTCATTGCAGTAGTTTTACTAGTGTATCATGTCAGTACATTTAGCCCTAGACAATACACCACAGTTATGCACATTAAAATGGCATAACTGAACTTGTGAACTCTACTGTATGTTGAACTCTGACCCAATTGATGAACTGCTGCACTGTCCATAACATCACATTTAATAACACATAACCAAGATAATACTGTTTAATGTTTTCCATTCATTTCTTTTTGTTTATTTGTGTTTACTTGTGTAACATAATATATTATAATTTCACCATCACTGTAATGTATGGTAATGTATGTAATGTCATTGTAATCACAACTGTATCTCCCGTACCACAAGTTCCCTATGCTCCAATTCGTCTTCAATTAACACCGAGCCTGGCGTAAGTACGCCCTGTGGATGGTTTCATCTCAAGACGGTAGTGTGAAGGACGACACCAGTTCTGCCAATGGCGATGTGTTCGTGCTTCCCACGCTTATTCTTGTCCTGTCCTGGTAGTTCGGTCTGAAGTTCAAATCCCGCGAACGGGCTGGCTGCATGGGCGTTTTCGTGGTTTTCCCAATGTGTATCGTGCATAAGAGCCAGTTTCCCTTAGAAAGTCCTCCACAAAGGCATCCCTCCCCTTAGACAGATAGCCCTAGTGTGCTTTGCCATAATTAAATTAACCGAAACAAACCCAACACTCAATTCTAGGCTTTACACTTCTCAGCTTGTTGTCAACTTGAACATCCCAAAACTGCTGCCAATCGTTTCTTTGATGACATAACAGATATCTCTGGAAGGGATGAGGCGACTGGACGGTTCAATAGCAGATTTCGCTGTGACATCCACCAGCTCATTTCCCTTTATTCCTGCATGTCCGGGAACCCAGCAGTACAGGATTTCATATCCACGACTCGTTAAGTTTATAAGTATCTTCAGAATATCCACTATAACAGCACTTTGAGTGTCGGAAAAAGTTTCTAACGCTTTTAGCGCACTATAAGAGTCTGCATACAATATGAATTTCTTGTGGCACAGCTTTGAGATGTACAAAAGATGATAATAGATTGCAGTTAATTCAGATGTTAACACTGAGAAACCATTGTGCAAACGTCTGCCCTCTATGTGATCTTCAATTACAAATGCCATCCCAACATGAACATTTGATTTGGATCCAGCTGTATATACTGGAAGATAACTGCTATATTTATGCCTGTGCTCAGCAAAGAATTGCCTGTAAACGATGTC